GAATGAACAGAGTTGACCTACAATTTACTATGAATAATTCCATGTTGATAATTCAAATGGCGTGCACAGGAAGACTAAGCTATTTTGTACAAGGTAACTGAACAATCATTGTGTCCACCATTGTTCTGTCTCCTCATTGGTAAAATTTGCTTGACAATAATTTTACATAGAAATAATAATTAAAATGTATTTTTGTGAGTGCTCTTATGCAGTGTTCCATCTCCTGAATTAATCAGGAAACTTATTTCATAAGTACTATCTGCTATGGAGCCTTCTATAAAGTCATTGTTCTATTTTTTCTGTCCATGTAAACCTCTCTTATTTTGTATGTAAAGATGTGGCCTGCATTTTTAACAGGCTCACAAGGTGGTTTAATGTACTCAAGGTTTAAGATCCTCTGAAGTCCTCGTCATTATCACCACCACCACCACAGCTGGCAATCTGGCCATGAGGAGGAGTCAGAGGGTCCTTCTAGGACTGGCCTGCTTTAGGTTCCATATGACATTTTGGCAGTAACCCTACAAGAAGACCTGGGAGCCCCCCCCCCCACCACCACCACCCCAGGGTTGAATGTACTGACTTCAACCTCCGGAGGGTCACCTGACTTCAGTTTGTCCCTTTTCAACCCTAACTTTCCTGAAGCACCAAAAAAATTTGCCCATTCTGTTAAAAATCCTTCTTTGCATTCTTTTCAAAGTGGATGATTTCTTATTATTTAAAACAGGAATGATCTTATATTCTAAATGTGCTTTTGTGTTAAAATAAGGGGGAAAACTGGCAAATAGATATGTGCCTAGGCTTGGATAAGGGTGCAGAAATTCTGCATATAATTCTGTCTGTGAGTATAGAGCAGTAAAGGAAGTGTAGTCCTAAGTCATATTTTTCCATATGTCAAAGCAATATATATACATATATATATATTTAATAACTGTATAGACTCACACTAGATTTCTAACTCTCCCTCCAAATTTGGTTTGCTCACATTTGAAGAATATTGAAGATTATTCCACTGGTATTAAATCATAATGATGATGTTGATAATAGTATCTTACCCAAGGGCACACCGAGTACAAGTGACTCAGGCAGGATTTGAACCCATACTTACCTGGTGTCTAAGCCTCAGTTCTTGTCACCATACTACACTGCTCTTTGGCAAGAAAGTCATGGATATGTTATATCAAATTACTTCTTACACTAAGCTGTTGCATGTAGTTTCCTGGGCCTATACTTAGGCCTCAGCAAGTGAATGAGAAAATTGGAATATTGGCATATAGAGCAGTATTTATGACACCGGGCTTACAATGAAGAGAATTGGTTACAAAGGTGGGAGAGGAATCCAGAGCCACACAGGGGATGGTAAAGTAACCCAGGGATCTGCAACAGAAGCCACTACCACCCTTGACTGAGAGACAGCAGGTGGCGGCCAAGTTACCCGAGGGAGCAGGAACCCCAATAAGCCAGTCCATACAGGAGATCCAGCCACTCTGAAGTGGCCACTTGGGGCAGAGAAATAAGGTAAGAAACACCTGGTTTCTCCTTTGCTGTTACACTCAGGTCTCCTGACACTCCAATTTCCTCCTACCCGCCAAACCCAGGAACCTGAAAAAACAACCTTTATGGATTGTTTGTTCCCCTCTCTACCGAACTGAGTGAGAAAAGGACAAGGATTGAGTTGGAGGACAGACAGACCGAAACAGGCACATCCATGCTGGATTTTGTTGTTATTTTCCAGGAAAAAAAAAAAGCATTTTAAGGCTCCTTTAAATAGCAAGCCCCCTGTACTTAGACTAACTTGATTGAACAACAAAAAATCTTTTGTCACATGTGACTTTATGCACCTATTATGCACTCTGGCCGGTGTGTTCAGTGGTTAGACGCTACCGAAGGGTCTCTGGTTCAATTCAGTCCGGGGCACATACCGGGGCTGCAGGTTCTATCCCCTGCCCCCTGCCCCATCGGGAGGCATGCAGGAGGTAACCAATTGATGTCTCTCTCTCTCTCTCCCTTCCCCCTCTCCCACCTCCCTTCCACTCTCTGGGTCTCTGGAGGAAGTTCTGGAGAAGTTCCTGGACCCTGAGTTGCAGTCAGTTGTGCTCCGGGGACTGACAGCTGCCACTTTCTGATGACCTGGCCGGCTCAGACGGGAGGGCTAGCGCGCCCTCTAGGGGAGAGCTGGACCCGGCTGGCGTGGTGGCTGGGCACCTTTCAAGCCTTTCTGCAGTATTGTCATGAGCAAAGTCCTTCCCCCTGTCCTCTCCCCCGCCCCCAAATACTCCCTGAAATATACGGCTGTGGTCTTATTAAATATTGCGTCAAAGGAGACTCAGTACAGATTATATTTTGTGTGTGCTGTCACACATTTAGAGAAATGGCCAGATTAACGACTCACAAAAAACACGAGACAGCTGCCAAAACAACGAAGTTTCAGTGCGCTCAGAGCTCAGCAGCAGGAGATGGCCCGGCAGGCCCTCGGGGATCTGAGGAGAAAGCAGACAGGATGTCTTCGGGGAGGGTGGCTGTCTTGATTTACAGGATTAAAATAATTTTTTTTTATCCTGTGGTTTTTGAAGGAGGTGGCTATGTGGGAGTACTTTCTGGTTAAGATCACAAACTTTGAAGTCTGTTTTTCTTTTTCTTTTCACAAGTCTGTCCCCTACTACCAGGGCTCATCTGTGCTTACTGCTACAGCCACTCACCGCTCCCCTCCCCGGCTTCCCTCTCCTCAGTGGGAAATTTCTAAGCAAATAAGATCAGCCATACCTACTCAGGATCTTTCAATGGCTCCCCCAGCCTCTGGGATGATGTTCAAAATCCAGGGGCAAAATTGTGACTGTCATCTCACCTGCAGTCCCACTCTGGCAAGTCCTAGGCAGTCACCTGCAAGGTCAACCCATACTTCTAGGAGAGCTCCATTCTCCCCAGGCCAGGTAAGCCGCCACCCTAGCAGCTCATAATGGTTGCCTGCCCCTCTGCCTCCCAGCAAAGCCGAGCCTTATTCCTTTGAGTATTGCCCAACATCCAACACCTGGGATTAAAACGGTGTTAATGGTATTTGAAAAGCACTTTACACTTTACACAGTGTTATCTCATACTTGCTCCTTTAATCCCACAGACACATGTAGGACTGAGAAGTCTATGGACTTGGGTGTGAATCCCTATGCAGCTAAGGACTGGCTAAGGCACGGACTGCACTTCACCTCAGCCTCCAGTAATTCCAATTCGGGCTTGTTATGAGGCTGCAATAAAACAATATCTGGCTCGCAGCCGGAACTATAAACTTGACTCCCCTTTCTGACCCCAAGCTTGGCGAGCTGCTTCTCTTATTTCTACAGCAACCCCTCCTTCTCTGAGCTCCGGAGGCCACCGAGGGTGCCAACGATGAAGCACTGTGCCTCTGTTGCATCGGGTACGAGCAATCCTTAATGGAGCGTGCAGGCACCACGTGGAGAGGACACTGATGCAGGGAACTAAATAAGGGGTCCTGGGAGGCAGGGGTTGGATGGAAGGGACTCTGGCAGATGTTGGTCAACTGAGGGAAAGAGGCTCCCGAGGGCACACTCCACAGGGGGGCCCACCCACGCCTCCCGGACTTCCAGTCTCCCCCAAGTGGCCGGTGCCGGCACCCCCCACTTCACCTCTCCTATTGCCCTCCCTTCCCAGCACCAGGTCCTGTCTCAGGGAACTCAAAAAGCAAGTAGGGTCCCAGGGCGGACCGGGCTGGGGAACAGCCCCCCGCGCGAGCCGTGGGGAGCGAGGCCCCCGCCCTCCTGCCCCC